TGCAGGCACACGTCCGTGCGCCCCCGCGTGCGCGTGTCCCTGGGAGCCCGCCGCGCGCGCAGCATGCCCGAGCGTCCGTGGCGGACGGAATGCATGCATATCATACTGATCCCACCGATCTGCCAGCGGCGGCGCGGGGTGTGCGGCTAACCTGACAGCGGCAGGATGGCGTTCAATGTCAAGATAGCCGGCGAGCAGGACAACACTCACGGGGCGTGTGCAGCGGGCGAGGTGAGGTGCGGCCGTGCGTCAGGCGCAAAGGCGAATGGCGCGTCGCTACGTAGACACAAAGAGGTCAGCGGCGGCCTTGGCGCTTCAGGGAACAGCGCGGGTAAGACCCACCTCATGAACATGTCGGCATAGACTGGCTGGCTGGTGCCGAGGGCGGAGCAGAGCTCAGAGCGGTACCCGTCTGCTTGCGTCGCACTGCTGTCGGAGGGGAGCAGAGTCGTCAGCGCGCTATATACACAGCCGGACACAGAGCGGACGCACAAGTGGTCAGGCGCACCCGCCGCGGACGAAAAGGTGGATGCGGTTGCTAGGCCGGGGTTCGAACCGAGGAGGGCTGGATAGGCCTGGGATGCTCCGCCTACGATCGGGGGTGTCGCTGTGTGGTACGCATATGCGTCGGGGCGAAAGCCGGTATCGAAGGGGAACACACTGCCAGACGAGCCCGTCAGCGATGCGCGCGCAGAGGATGGAGGGGGGAGTGCAGACCTGCCGCTAGCAGAGGGGTATGGCGGCTGGGAGTCTTGGTAGTAGAGTTCTGCGAGAGAGGGGGAATAGTCCATGGCGAATGCGAGAAAGGCGGGACGGGGCGGGAGGGGGTACGCCACAGGCTGGATCTGCAACGCGCAAGACGGGTGAAAGCTATATAGAGGCGCGAGGGCCGAGCGCGGAGCAAGTCCGGACCCAGCACGATCACAGCATCAGGGACAGCGTGATTAGGCAAGTGGTTGGCTCTCGGCGGCTAGGCTGGGTGGAAGATTGCACTACGACTGTCCCTTCCCCGCGAACCTAAGCAGATGCTCCGAAGCCTAATTCGAGGGCACGTAACGTGACTCCAGCACCGCTTTGCCTCCGGCAATACTACGGACATGTGAATGCTCGCGCGTGCACACCCGGCTCTGGCCGCACTATGCCGCCGCCGCCTACCATCCACCGTCGAGCGCCACCCGCAACGGGCAGAGCATTTCCCCTCCGCTCCCTTGACGTTGTCGTCGTCGTTGCCGCCGCCTCCCCCCCGGGGCTTCTGCACCAGCCCACGGCGGAAAACGGAGGATAACCCAGCCATGAGGATGAATTTGACGTCCCTGCAGCGGCATATCGTGATAGCGATAGACCAGGCTGCCGGTGATGGACTGTCGCGCGCGGGAGAATAGAGGGAAGCCGCGCACGCACCAGTCTGACGAGCGCTTGCAGCTGACGAGCGATTGCAGCTGACGACGGGAATGATCAGTGCGTCCCGGGAGCGTTCAAGCCAGCAGCCAAATTCGACACCCTGAAGCGTCGACGTCGGCTATCGGGCTGTCGAACGTCACGCCCAAGTTGGGCCCCGGCTCCCGCGACGCATCGTGATTACGGCAATGACAGAGTACCATCGCTGGCTACCAAGTAGGCTGTCCCCACCACTCGGCATCTCGGTCATGCAGAGCTCAATGCTGGCTTCTGTCACTCTATACTTGGTGCGGCGTAGTTCGATTGTAACGACTGTACTTCCGAGGTTGGACGGCGAGAATCTGACGAGTGGCTGCTGTAATCGTCTTCGACATCCATTTCGGCGTGACGAGGTCTCGATCTCCATGTTGTCTTCATGATTTCATGGATGCGCAAGTAGGCATTCAGGGCGGAGCATAACCTCGGCGAGACGGGATGCGTTATTTGCAGTGACGTCTTGTGATCGCCAGAGTGGGGGAACCGCCCAGTGGTAATCCGTAAGGGACAGCGCATGCAATGAAGGCCACGCACTGCCCATGCTATTACGTCTGACGGATCGGATTCAGAGTTGGCGGGGATGCGCCGCCTGGCGACGTCTGCACGCACGCTCCCTATTCCGGCAGACCCGCGAAATTTTCTCCGCTCACATGGCCCATGTCACATGGTCGCCGGTCCCGTCACGTCGCGGCTGTGAGCCAACAGGGCAAGGATGTGCAGGGACGCGCGGAGGGCGAAATGAAACGTCGAAAGTACAACAGATCCTATCGTCACATTGATCGGGGGGTTCGGATGAAGCTCGGAGCAACGAGTCCGACGCGAGCTTCCGCTGCGTCTACAGCGCGAGGGGTGATAGTCCCCGGCTCAGTATTGCTTTGCGGAACGTTTGCCAAGGGCCAGCAAGGGTTTGCCTCCGGATAGAGCGATCCTGTTCCAGCCAGCCTCTCCGTAGATTGGAAAGAGGAATCTTGGACTTACGCTATACCCGCTCCATCTGGCTGTGCGCTGCACTACCCATGAGACGCTCTATCCTGTGCACACCGTCCTTGGTGCCAGCGGTTGAACGACTCCACACCACCAACGGTGACCGAACCCCAGTTGCCCTGCTGTACCAGGGTGGTTTTGAGAATTTCATATTTGGAATTTTGGCGTTGGGCAGACTGCCATGATCAACCAGGACCCTGGAATGCAATTGAGCGCTTACTGTGCGTGAGGCTCGAGACCCAGTGCAAGCAAGGCGTCTGCAGCAGAAACGGAAAGATCGAGCATGTCCATACACTTGAAAAAGGCATCTCTGCATTGTGATGAGCTCGACCGGATGGTTTTGATGGCCAGCTTGATATGTCAACAGTAGGGATCTCTTGCTCTTCACCGCAGGTGGGGCTTTGAACGCTGTCCGGGACAGCAAGCTCCAGCTCCAGCGAACACGTGAGAAGGATTGGCACTAGGCGCCTAAATGGGCGCCTCTGAAACGCTTTGGACAATGCGAAATGTCGCATCTTAGATACATTCTGGTACAGTAGGGCAACCGTACGGAGGAACATTACTTGAGGATCTCATCGATGGTGACCGGAAGATTGCGATCTAATTTCCTGGTGGTGATTGTTCTTTGATGGGTGGTATCGGTGCCTAGGCCAGCCAGCTCCTGACGTCTGCAAATGCGCGGTTGACGACCCTCGGGCTACGTTGGGCGGTAAGCTCGCTCATGAGTCCAGCCAGCACTTTGGAATAGGGCAATAAGCAGCCACTTGCCTGGGCATCGATTCAAAATCCTGATGTTGCAAAATGCTTGGAATGGAGGGAGACTAGCGTCCCTGCGAGACTGACCACGCGGCGCGTAAACTGGCATCGCGATAGAAGAGAGGAGTGTCGGCACGATCAAAGGCCGGTTAGCGATCCAGATTGCCCCCTGAGCGTCGCGGATAAACCGCGGATGGAGAGTCGCTCGTCACAGAGAGCGCAGTGGAGGCAAACGAGCGAATTGATCGGAGGAGCAACCACCCATGATCAAAGTCGATCACAGCGATCGTGGAGTGAGATCCGCGAAGCTGCGAGACACGCCTACGCACGACGAACATCCGAGCCTCGACGAAGTCCTTTGCGCTGAGCGAGAGAACGGGCTCATTTCTAAGCCATTCAAAAGCCCTTGACAAATCTATGAACGGGTATACCACCTGAGGTACCCAAGTTCCTTCAAGGTGCACTTGTGGGTGAACGAGGCCTGCGTCTGTCCGTTCACCAGCGCCGACAAAGAATTCCCGCACCCGTCGGCGAGTCCTGCGCGTCTCCCCAGCCGGCGCTCTGAAAATTTCTCGCAGGGCGTCATCCAGGGCTCTGCTTTGGCGACGAGGCACGAGTCAGCTTCGGTCCACGTAACGAGATCAACGGGTGTGCTGTCTCACCACGATGACGGCTGGCCCATCACACGTACCGTGCGCCACCACACTAGTTCTGCGCGCCAGCACTCTTAGGTCTCTTTCCTAAACATCCACAGACAGAGACTTTTGCATGCGTGCACCTCGATATGGCTAGATGGGCAGCGATCCTGTGCTGGGCTATGCGACACATGCAGGGTGCTACTGGTGGATCATAGACAGCAGGTCTCGACCGAGTAACATCCCGAGTCCAGGCGCAAGACATATGGTGGTGTATATTCTGTTGATCAGGCTAACGCACGCTGCAGAAACGTGCAACAGCATACCTGTGCTTCCATAAAACTCGCAACTGCTCCCGGGGACGCTTCCCCCGCACGTACTCCGCCGTTGCCAAAATTTGCGATCGGACGGTCAGAGTGGGTCGAATTTCACCAGTGGTGCACAAGGGCTACCAAATTGACAACGGCCGGAGGATTTGGTTACGTCTACAAGGCGGACGAAACAAAGTCGCGAACAGAGTGAATCGAGGTGAGCACCGCCTTGTGATTTAATTATTTGCCTCGCGATATCCACGTGCACGTGGTCCGCATGCGTGCGTCTGGCGCCTATACCACAAGCTGGCAGCCTTGTTCGCCCATTGCACGCTTCGCGACGGCCATAAACGTAGTAAGGAAACTTACAAATACCGGACCTCACAACACCTTTTTTGTTTTCAGGGAAGCTGCGCCGCAAAAGAAACGCGTCTGGAGCGTTGTGATGGCATTGCCTTTTCATTTGGGGCTCGTCGCACAGACATATAAGCCTCGGCACGGTGCGTCACATTTGTCTGAACCCATACATTCTTCTCAGCACATCTGCTTCTTCATACGCGTCCGAGACGCGTAAGATTATTACACCATACCTTCTCAATCCAGCGTTGGTCTTTCGACCGCCGATATTGTTTCGGAGCACCGTATGTTTCCGCTTGCTGCTTTCCCTACCGATCCGCCTGTGCTAACGCCCACCTTTTAAACAGAACCATGTATAGTCCCTACATGCCGCATGCCACTCCTGCGCTCTCCCCCGAAGAGTATGACATGTTGCTCGGCCAGCGCGTCCCGTGCCGCTGGGGCGACGCGTGTGGCGTCCTGCTCGACGACACCTCCGCATCCGGCCTCATGCGCCACCTCCGCGCGTACCACCTCACGCCTACCCCACACGTACCGTGGGACAAGCGCGCCCGCGCCCATTGTGTTTGGGGTGGCGCCACGGGCTGCGGCAAGGAGATGGCAAACGCAAGCCTCGGGAAGCACGTCGCCGCCGTCCACCTTCGCGTGCGCGTCGAATGCCCGCGATGCCACCGCGACGTCGGCCGTGCGGGTCTTCTGGAGAGACACCTGGAGCTCTACTGCGAACAACGCCCGTGGCCGTGAACCGGCACCGTCCCTGTCCCCGCTCTGTGCACCGGTGCGTTCGATCTTGTTCGGCACGGGGGTACCAGCAGCTCCGCGTCGGTGCAGCGCACCTGCTCGTTGTGGACGTCGTTGCCGTATTGCTATGCCACACTCTCATATCCTCCTTCGCCTCCACCATCCCACGGATCATGATCCCCCGCTTTTTTCCCGCTTCTCGATCTCCGATCCGGCTCGGGACTCAATTTCCGCCCGCCTTCTCTCTTCTTGACTGACGCCCTACACTACCCTGTATTCCCTCCCCTCTTGCGACGTAGACCGCCGAACCGCCCGTGCACGCGGCGTATTCCATCCTCAACTTTTAAACTACCAAATTATCCATTATTCACTATCGACTATCGAATCGCGAAAGCGCACTCATGCTATTGTACAATTACTACCTGGAAAGTTCCTGTAACACTATTGTATTTTACCGCCGGCCATTGACCTGGCCAGGTGCCTCTCCGTTATTTGTACCATAATCTGTTGTACTGTTATAAGATAGCACATACTTGTCATTGAACAAGGGAACCTTGTTTTCATTTTGACCGTTCTCTTGGCGACCCGCGCTCCATCTGCATCCGTACATCGTTCGCGCACGTTTTCCGCACTAGGGCGCTTCTGGGGCTGAGTTACCGCGACTTGATATACTGCTATTGTGTTTATGACAAGTCGTTCGGTTCCTCCTTCATATGCATTTGTGCAACAGGACCGTTGTGCGCTGCAGTCCACGCCGTGTCGCGATGCCGATTTCTTGTTCCGAATCTGCTGCACTGGGTTCCTTGTGCCTACAAGGCGGCGATAACACCGCATGGGCAGCCAGGGTGCCAGGAAGCCGAAGAGAACGTTGCGGAGACACCGTACGAGAACCATACCAACGTCACTGCGGAATCAATCAAGTCAGTAATGAAATCGGGCTGGAGGAGATCATCAAGCTGGGCCGCTCCAACGACACTGCATGATCAGCCCATTCGCAATCGGCATGGAGCAGAGAACTCAGCACGAGATATTGCGTACAGAACTATCACAGTGATACGATGCTGTAGTGTCGCGACGATCACATCGGAGCGACTTCTTTAGAGCGGACATGGAAAACAGAAACGTACCAGCTCTATGCGGGCCTCCATGAACCTTGTGCATTGCCCGATGTCTTCCGACTGATCGATACCACTAGCCTACTTCCTAGACTCGCCGATTCATCATCGCATCGAGCGAAAGTCATCAGAATGGAGGCTCTGTGCATATAAGGAAGGAAGATTTCGGAAGCCCATTTGTGAAGTCTCGCCAAAAAAAAAAAGAGAGTAACCGAGAAAGGTCTGAGCGTTTCATGGAAGCAGGAAAGAATTGATATTGGATACTGCCAGCGACTAAGCAGCATGTGCGCCGCCTCATGCACACGCACACGGGAGAAGGGTGGCGTAGATATGATAACTTTCAAATTCGCTGTAAATATTTGATGGCATTGTATGTCGTGCCGAGCCCGGTCGAGACCCTGAGCGGCAGCGGGCTCCGCAGCACCGTTGCGTACCCGCACCGGAATCGAACAGCACGTATCGACATCGTGATCGTTGCGGAGACCCTGGAGCTATCCGGATCGGGGGATTGGCTTTTCGCAGCACACGTGGATACGGGTCGCGTTGCAGCGTGCAGGGTGCCGACGCCACCGGAACTTGAACGCAGTGGCACTGCACGCGTGTTGCCCACTATCGGCGCGCCCGATACTATTTAGTAAGTCTTGGCTTTCAGCAAACTCTCCGTGCTAACGCAATCGCACCTTGTAATACGTACCTGTGCCATATACTATGACATGCTACTCTTGCACATCTCCCTCCTTTTTCCACTCATCTTGTTAGCTGCTAGTGTCAGACTTCTGGAGCGCAATTACGCTAGTAGCCTTACACCCTTGCTGGAGACCGCGCTCTAGGAGTTGCCTGCTGACCTCTCTCTTTTGACCTTGTTTGTTGCTTGCTCAATTTTGAAGTAGAAAGATTCCCGCACTCCTAACGTTGATTACAGCCAGACGCACCACGGCCGGTAGAACCTTCCCCGCGTAGATTCAAATGACATTCAGCGACGCAGGTAAGCACAGCCGCAAATAGACCGGACTCCCTGCCGCATCAACGCGCACGTGTACACCTCCCGCGCCGGATGCTCACTCCTCCGCATACGGACACGTCCCGAGCATGTGGCGCGCAAGCGTGTCTGCACGCGCGAAACCGCGTCCGCACCACGGGCAGCGCTGCGCGGTGCTGCGCAGGTGCACCGCGGCGACGTGCTTCCCAAAGCTCTCAAAGTTCATCTCCTGCGCGTCGCAGTGTGCGCCCCACGCGCACAATCCGCGGCGCTTGTTTCCCCACGGGTCCCCGTGCGAGGTGAAATGGAACGCTTTAAGATGGCGCGTCAGCCCTGCGGGGGAGAGGTCGTCCAGTGCGATGTGGCACGTCCCGTCGCCCCAGAGGCAGGGCGTGCGCGCAGGGTGCACGAGTCTGGGTGGACGGGTGGATCGGATCAGAGGGGAAGCGGCTGGAAGAAACGGACTCACTCGGCATTACGCACGAGGGTGTGGCTTGGATTGGAGGTGAGGGGATGGTCATGGGTATGGGTACGGGTATGGGTGTGGGTATAGGCATAGTCGTGAGCATGGTTGCAAGTATGGATGGAGGCATGGTTGTAGGTATGGATTAAGGTGTGAGTGTGAGTATGAGCGTAGGTGTGAGCATGTATGTCGGGGTGAACGTGAGGGCAGCATCCCATCTCCGGGGAGTTGTGGGATATGAATAATGACATCTCGTGGGTATGACGCAACTAGACGATTGTGGGTGAATATGACGACAACGAGAGACATACAATACTTACCTGACAATGTATATATGGGGAACGAGTATGAACAGAGAGGAAGAGGAAGAAGCGTGCTGGAGAAGAAAGAACGCGTAATAGGAAATGAAGCGAAAGACGAACTGCCTGATTTCACGACCAAGTTATCCGCAGTATTTATACACCGACGGGGCAGCCACGACCCAGATACACCATGTCACAATCGACATCTTCTGAAGGCGTGACACGTCATCCAAGCATGATCGCTGAAAAGTCGCAGCTAAAAAAAACCCCTTACACCGAGTACAATCAGCAGAGCGCAGGCGGCACAATGCCCGCCGCCAAGAGTCTTACCACATATGGGCTCCGCCTCGCGCCGGGTCCCGGCCAATGCGCGAAATACCCTGCGCACGTTACGGCACGTCCGGGGACTCCAGCGGCACCCGGGATCTCAAGCGGATCATCGCATACGAGATTGGCTATTGTGATCCGTGACCCCGTGAGCGCCGATGGGCGTGCCGCCGGGCGACGATGAGAGCTTTTGCCGCCAGCCCACTGCTCTGGGGTCACGCACGAACAAAGAAGACAGTCAATAAACAGCGTGCCTGAGGCACGTTGTCTCGTTGACATGCGCAGGGGACCCCACAAGCCCTGCGCGGCGAAACATAGTCCTCCCAATCATGCGCAATGCCGTTATCCTGGCGCAGGCACTAACAGTCAGCTCGACATATAACGTAGTTACAATTGCGCACTCGTGGATTGATATCACGATCACACAGAATGGTCAGCTGGTCAATTGAGATTCCGCATCGATGCCTTTGCTCCACAGGTCCCTGAGCGAAGAGCAAAGTACTCTTTCTTGGGATGTGACACGGAGTTGCCAGCCACTGTCGCAAAGATCACACTTGTCAGTATATGATGCAAAATGTCAAGTATGGATAAATTGGCGGACTGCGCAGGCGGTGTTAGTGGCGCACTTGTACTAACATGTCTCTCCGCGCCTAAATGCCAGCGTGCCTGCGGGCCCCACTCCACATATCGATAACACCGGATACCGCTTTCGAAGCGAGGGCAGCTTGAACGATTCAATGGATCTGAGCGGCAAAAGTGGGTCAGAGCCGGGTTTGTACCTGTATATCATAAAGCTCATTTAGGCCGCAGCTGCATCGCACAAAACGTCAGAGCGTGCAACTACGGATCATCGCCGCACTACATGTGCCCGGTCCGAGGTTCGGGCGAGAGGGTTTAGAGTTGGGAAAAGGAGGCACGTCACGAATGAAGATGAACACCGCCGTTGATTGATTGTGCACGCCTGCAGCCATTGCGTTGGGCAAGTCCACGAGCGCACTCCAAAAGCACTTGCCATTCAAATGACCTCTTGGCATAGGCGATGGCGGATCATCGTATGAGCCAGCGGAGGAGATACGGGATTTCGACCTCGTGGACGATTGCGGCAGGGCATGACGCACGGGCAGCCTCCTCATGGAGAAGAGAGAGACGCTGAGATATTCCGAATTCAATGTACACAGCCGTGAAGCTGACGCTATCGCATTGACTATGAATGAAGGTCGATGTTCAACAGACGTATACGGCATACCGGGTCCTTCACGTACCAAGGACCCCACTCGTGGCACACGATGCAGGAGCAGAATTCACCGCTTGGTGAGCATCAGATTCGGTGTCAGCTGAACAGTGAACGGGAGCTTCGAAGCTTCGAAAGGTTGTCTCTGGGGTCGGTCAAGGTCTGTGACTTGATGGTAACGGCGTACGATGGCTGTTATTCGAAGAGGCGTGGATAGTAGCAAGATACTGACATATGAAACTATTACGCCAGAAGCTCTACTTCGTGCGACCCAATGCACACGCCAGTCATCTCCTTCGTGTATCTGATCATGGCCGATACACCATTGAGGACAAGGACGTGTAAACGCGCATCCGATAGCGGCCACCGCCTGCCCGCGGTAATTCTCTCCCAGAAGATGCAAGTCGCCGAGCTGTCAACGAGAAAGGGAAGACGTGCGCTGTGTGTTATCAACGAGACGGCAATGCTGCTTGCACCAGCCAGATCGAAATAGTTCGCGATACCAAGAACAGTATCATTTGAGAGCGAACGGCAGATAGTGGCCGCGGTGAGGAAAGACGCACAGGCGCCAGGGGAGCGCCTAATTCAGGCCATCGGCCGTCGTCGACGAGTGGCGGCAAGCCTTCCAACCCATTTAAGTCTCACTTGTTGTTGGCAACACATCTCAGTTCTACGATAGTGGTGGGTGTGATATTTCCTTATGAGTCTCTATGATAAGCACTTTCCATACCCACTTAATGATAACTGATCAATTGACCTTCAATTTTCCAGCGCACAATGACGACTCAGCCGCGACTTGATATCCGTCATAAATCGTGATTTGGATGAAGTACTGTGTTATACTTGGTTCAAATATTCGTAACTAGGCACTCCCAATCCTGCGTGAACTGAAAGTGTCTCCTTTGGATGGAACATCCAAGTCTAATGACTGAACTTAACTAGCTGGTGAGCCCCTTTGATGTGTTCAGGATACGTCCGGTTGCCATCCAAAATCTTTTTACTTATTCCTGGAGTGTGCAGCATTCTAACGATCCACAGGTAGGGCCTTCTTCCATGGATCATGAAGTGATGATGTCAGAAGATTGCTCTTATGCGTTGCTTCTTCATGCGGCTGTCCAGGGTGTATGGGGTGACTGGGGGTGGGATACAACGAACCGTCAGAGTGGGCTCGGGCCGACCATATGTATCGATGATCACCGAGTAAGTTCTAATACACTGCCTCGTACCTCGAGCGCTTATGGCGGCTCCGGCTCTCCCTTTAGCTTCCTCGTCCAAGCCTCCTTATTCTGGGGACTCCATGTGGACATAAAGGCCGTGCGCTGCACGGCGCCTGCATTGTGTAGCTGAGCGCATCGTGAAATCCTCCGCAGCCACTATTCTTGTCTATGCTGGGATTGGAACTGGGTTTAGTGAGCTAGTTGTTCGAGAGTTGAGAGTAAATGGCTTCTTGATCATTACGCAACACGTCCTCAGGGTTTTCTACGGGAGACAATTCAAGTAGGCGCGAATTGTAATATGCCGAGGCAAGAGCGTCTACTAACGCCTCGAAGTCTCCGACACATGCACGACGCCTGCTGCAGTCGTTGCAGAGCCTAGGCCGCAATGTCTGATCCTCAACTCCATCTTGTGGACATGCGACATGCCCCATCCATAGCCAGGGATAGCGCCTCATTTCTCACAACGTCCACAGCTGAGCTGCGCAGGACCATACTGATATGCCTTGGTAAGGCATTTTGCTGTTCAAAAACCTGTGACCTAGGTACATGATACTGAGGCTTCAAATTTCCAAGCGTATGCAACCCTGGATTGACGCTGTTCATTGTCAGATAGTCCAATCAGCACGCTTGAAATACGGTGTATCTTAGGGCTATGTATTGGTGGACTACGGGACTTTCCCATTGACAGAGAGCGCTGTGTTACACTGCTTTTGTGTGATTTGGAGACCTCTCCACAAGTGCTGCCGTTTTACTTGACATGGATGTTGCTCTATGCTTAGACTGCCGGCCCGCCGGAACGTCATTGTCATATGGCCATTTTAGAGTTCAAAGCCCCACAGACCGAGTGCTTATAAATGACGGCCTTCCGCCATTAATCCAGGCCTCAGGCATTAACTTGCACACCATTATACTGTATCTCAACATACCCTGCGCTTCCAATGAGTAGTCGGACGGTTGGTTGGGAGGATATGCTGAATCAGCCTCAGTGCGCTCTTCGTTATTAATTCTCGCTGAATGACCCCTAAAGACGCTACTGCATTCTACAGGGACTACCCATTGTTCATTAAATTTACACCGGGAGTTACAAACAGAACTACGTGTGTATTTCCAATTCTCGGCCTTCGTGTTTACCATGGTTCCTTGACGATTGGCATGAATCGTGGTAGAAGCACCACCATTCAGCAGATGAATTTTTATGCTTTATTCAATGACGATACTTCGTGGATCGCAGCGTGCCTATCATTGCAGCACGAGTAGTTTGCTGATGCTGATTTTCCACAGAGATCCTCGCGTCGTCTCCAATCACCTATTCTCTGAGCAGCAGCGACTTCAAGTTGGCGAGACGAGTGCTTGCACCTATCCGGATCTTCCCGCCGACAACATGCCCATAGTGCAGGATGAGGAGATCAGCAAAGGGGGCTTCCTTCCCGTTTTGGACAATGGCCTTTTTCAGGGATATCGAGATACCCTTCGAGGTTCTCTACGTCATTTCGAGTCATACCGGTCTGGACAGACTAGTGCTGATCATTCTGACATGTAAGTGCAGTGCATGTGTACGAGCCCAAGTTTTTGTTACTTATTATTCCCAATTTATTCCACCAGGAGCACCCGCTATGTGCGCGATCACAGACGCTTGATCGACACCGGTCTTCCTCCGGACTACAATAATGCTCATGCGGGCTACGATAGTAATTATACGTTGGATTCGCTACGCCCCGGTGCTAGATGCCCGCTGCGTGCTTCAGGGTGCGCAATGATGGATTTTTCGTCTGCTTTCCGGTCCCATGAGATTTCCATGTTTCAGACGATCCGGTGTGGGCACATTGCAGGATCGAGCCCTTGAATACTACAAAGGCCTACTCCAAGATGCCGCATCAGTCCCCCGGTCAGGCACAGAACAGACGATCCCGACAGGATCTGTCCCATATCCCTCTGAACGGGACACGCCGCATTTCGTCCCACCCAATAACTGGAACTCCGCGGTGTCTGCCCGAGTAGCCATCGGGGCCCATATGAACTCAATCGCGTTCCCCCAAAGTGCAATCTATCCATCTGTAATCGACTCAAGGTGTACAATGGCAGCGGCGGGCAGTGCGCCGTCGATGACTGCCGGTCATGATCGTATGCCCGCGCCACAAGTAGGAGTTGCAGGACCGTCCGTCTGCACCAACATCATGCCTCAGAATACGTGGGGGACACTTGTTCCAGGACTGGACGCCCTGGCTGCCGCGACCTTGGAAGCGACAAAGGTATTGGACGAGAGTGCGTTTGCACCCCCTCGTAATCTGGAGCACTCCTCTACACCATATGCACAGTGGCCCGGAAGCCCTCATGCCCTCCATCCAGGCCACATCGTAGACACCCACGAGCCCGGCAATGATCCCCAGGGTCCCAAGGACGAGCCTGTGACAGCGAGGAAGATCTGCGAGTGGGCCGGATGTAACGCGCAGCTCGACGACCCCTCGGTGAGTGGCGTCCGCCGCCACTTTGAGGAGTGCCATGCCGCGGATGATGGTGCAAGTGACGAGGACAGCGCGAAGAAGCACATGGTGTGCCGGTGGAGGCAGTGCAGGACACAAGTGCAGAGGGGTAACTTCATCAAGCACATCCGCGCCGTGCACCTCCGCATGATGGAGGTGACGTGCGAGCGTTGTGAGCGGGTTTTCGTTAGGTTGGATGCTCTCGTTCGCCACCGGGCGAAGTTTGGACACTAAACCTCTCTAGAAATTGACGCGACCTGGTAACGAATGGCCACGAAACTCACGACACCTCAACGAACTTTCATGAAGCTAGATGTATCAAAGCCGCATTTATTCTCGTCGGTATACAGCTCTAGTATACGCAGCATATTATGATGTTCACTGATATCCACTAGCGTATTGAATTGTATACTTTGCTTCGTATATAGTGCGCTCCATGCTCTTCTCAGCCTAAACTAAATATTACGAGTACAGTCAATATGTTTGCTACGGCGATTCCGGAAACCTTACATTTGTCTATATTTGAGTCTTATTCACATCAGATATCTATTGACGAGCAAATTCTGACCAGTCGTTGCTTTTTTAGAGTCGATTAGTGCCAAACACACACAGTGCCGACGTCCAAGTCGCCGAAGATCCAGCGCATACAGGTCTGGATAGACACGAGAGGAGCACTGGCATTAGAAGACGATAGCGAAGGACGATGATAGCAAAGCCAGATAAATGAGCATCACGGATATAAACCCAGATCGACTGGCCAAAGTATAATAGTCCTCCATATACACCTGTCACACGCGCATCCACGATGTGCGGTACCCTCAGGATGTTGAACTTCATTGCCTGAAGTGGACCATTGAATCGTGGCACCTGTGTGCCTCTCGCTTTCGAATTAAGGTGACATGTGCTTAATGATCGGCATTAAGGACGGCTGATGCAACCCGAGTTGACGTTTCGCACCAATATAGTTCCACAAAGACGCGTGATAGTTCACACTTAGATTAGCTTGGATGGACCTGGAAGCGAGCAACTTGGAGGACACTGCACTCCCTGTGCCCATCTTGAATGTGGTCAAAGCGGTGCTACTGCACGAGACGCATAGAGCTTCTTGTCTAGCATCACGGACGGGAACACACGATCATGGACACATATCCTTCCAGTTTGTCCGTTCTTTGTCCCGGACCCTTGTGTAACATTCCATCTACAAATTGCTCTCGAGATCTGTCACATAAACAGAGAAATTGACATCAGTCCGTCGTGCACCGGAGCAAAAGTGGAACTGTATACGTACGTGTGGTTCAATTACAGAATTCTATCTGATTTTCTGGGGCAGTGAACACGCTCGGTCACCTTCAACGATCCGGCGCATCCTTGGACACGGAAGGGTGATGAGATATTGGTAGCACAGCATTACACGTTATAGGTGTTCTTGGGGAGGACAAAAAAACAGGGATTGAAGCACAAGAATGATGTCTGTAGGAATGATTCGAAGCTTACCAGTCGACTTCAAATGTGCGCCCCGATACACAGGGTGATAGGAAAAGTTCTGTGGGTGCGCGAAAATGACTCGGCAACCGAATGGCGTTGTACTGTGTACCATAAGCGCATCACTTGCAGCACATCAGTTGCCATACATGACAGACGTTGTTTCCATCTAAAATGGGTGAATGGTCTCCTGACGTAGTTCAATCCGGATAATACGTCCTAAATAGCTCGATGTTTGATAGTACGCGGGGACACACTAGGGAGGAGCTACCTTCCGCTCAGGCCATCACCATACCCACGTCGTACTGAGACAAGCCTTCACGGGGGGATACATCAAAAAGAGTGATAGAACTCGACACCAGATACAAAGATCCCAATCCCCGGTAGCAGTGGCACTATGTTTGAGTGTGGTTCGCACCATCGCCTTGTTCGGTACCGGAGGGTGGAGAATATGGAGAGCGCACTCGCGACGATCTGCCTCGCCGCCGAGAACGTAAAGCCCGACTTGGTCAGACTAGGTCTATATTTCATCATCAATGCGTTCCAAATGAGCACTCATCGCCCCCGTCGCGGTTCTCCTGACAGCAACGCCGACCTACGCGGACCAGGGGACGGTCAATGTTGGAGCAGCGATGGGAAGCAGGGCGCCATTTGTGGGAGTCAGAACGAAAGAAACTTGACGGAGGTACACAATGCCGAGATCCACATGGCGCAGGTAGGGTATTGAGGCATGCTGTATCAACAGGCACCAACACACGCCACCCGCCGGCCAGATGTCGGCGGCTG